GGGAGGGAGGGAGGGAGGGAGGGAGGGGGAGAGTCAAATGGTTTACAAAACAATGAAATGTTGCTATAAAGAAGAGTGGTATCCCTGATACCGTCAAATGTTCAGTTTATAAAGACTTCCAAGACCATTTCTATGGTTGAGTGGGATAGGAAACTTCCTGAAGATAATGACAATTTATTAGCAAGAACAATGAACTCCTAAACTGCTTTACATTTTAGGAATATTTGAGATTGCACTTGTAATTTCGTGCAAATCCAAGCAGAACAAACCTTGAGATTAAAACACCTGAATCAAAATTTAATATTGGCTTCCATCATCAACATATTAATGGCGCCATATTTGTCTATGACTTCATTCAAAGGCCTAATACAGGTTAAAGATGAAGATATGCATTTTAATGTGAGCTTACCTAAACTTTAGTACCCTTGAACATAGAAATATTCTGCAAACATATTTACAGTGGGCCCATAGTGGAATGAATATAGCAAGAATGATACCCTGCTAGGGTGATCCTAGGTGGGGGCGAGGGAACAAAAAGACAGAGTGCAGGTGGTTAGGGAGAGATTTGCACATTTCAAAATTTACAAGTTGGATGGAATTCTAAGTTGGATGGAATTCTAATTTGCTTTAACTTTTAAGAAGCTCTGGGTAGAAAAGTAGGGACTCCCTCAGCTATGCTTCCTGGAATAAGCATATGGCCACAAAGTGTTACATGGTCAGCTCAGGAAGCGTTGAGTAAAAGTCTTTACTTTTCAAAGAGCTTGATGTTGGAAGTGCACAAGTCTTTTTTAAAAGTAGTAGAACACTTTCCACAATCTACTAATTCTTACAGGCTAATCTGAATTTTATGATGTGTTTCTTCAGCAAAAACAGTGTATATTCTTCAGTATAACAATGTTTAAATAAGAGTATATTAGGAAAAGATGTGCAAACACACACACAAATATAGCAGTGGAGAAAATACTTGCCAAAATACATATATTAGACCAAGTTGCTTTAAAAAGCATGCATTAAGAGAATAATTTTCTCTTTTTTCTCTTCTTTCCATCTGTGTAGATGTGTTTGTCTTTTTATAAATTTTAATTATGTATTTATTGTTTTAACTTGATGTAAACCACCCAGAGTCCCCCATTGCGGGGAAATGGGCAGGGATAAGTCTATGTATAAATAAAAAATAAATAAATAAATAAATAATATGGACTGTTTTTAAAAGGTGGCCTGCTAGAGATCAGAGTAAAACAAATTTAAGACTGAGGAAATGAAGGGAAAAAAGAGAAACCAAACAGAACCAGGTTATCTAATCCTGTCTCATAAATAATATGGAATCCTGCAGGACAAACATTATCCTTTCGGGATTGTGAACAATTGTTTAAGATGGATTTTTTCCCCCTGTTCTCTAGGTGTCAAGGCTCTTATTCTTGTTGGGTTGGAGCGAGTAGCTAATTTTGAGGAAGCGATGAAGCTGGAATTTGGGCGTGGCTTTACTTATAATAGGCCTCTCCAAGTGAATCAGCTGGATTTAGATTTTGAACTGGCAGAGCAACTGGTAAATAACTAAAATCTATAATTTCTTCTTAATGACATTAAAAAAAATTTTTTAGATTGATGTTGGCCTCACAGAGTAAACCAGATAGGACTCACAACCTGATGAGCTAATTCTACTTTATTGTAAAGCTACATTGACAGAATCCTGCAAGCATGAAAGTACAATTCTCCCCCAACCCGTCTCCTTTACAGCCCGAGAAACTAGGAAGGGTCTCTTTTGAGCCTCTTGCCCTGCCCACTATCCAGCTGTGGGCTATGCTGTCTCTTATCTGACTGTTCCCTTGGGAGCGTCTCTTGACCCTGTCTCCCAAGGTCTTTCCTGCATACACCTTCCAGCATGAAAAACATTCACCTGATGTGGAGTGGAGCTGTGGCAGGAGGAGGTGCTCACACACATATACACACACACACACACACAATCCCTCTATCATTCTCTGTCTCGTGTGCTCTCTCATTTGCTGGTGTGTTCTCCCTCTATTCCTCCTTTTTCTTCTACCTGTCTCCCTCATGCTGCCCTTCATTCTCTCACTTTCTGGCCCATTCTCTTGATCTCTCTCCCTTGCTTGAAGTCATTCTTGCCCTGTCTAAGAACAGCTGATGGGGAGCTAATGATACGTGCAGGTTAGTGAACTATCTGATTCTCCTTCCCCTACAAACAACCCCCCCCCCCCCCCAAGTACTGGCATTCTAGCTCAGCCTCTCCATCGCTCCTGCTGCTAGAACATGAATCAAAAATGACAGCACCAATTACTTTGCAAAAGGGAACAAATGGGGAGGATTTGCATTCCTTTAAGTTCAAGTATATAGCCTATAAATAACAAACTTTCCAACAGGCTCAATTAACAAATGAGAAGAGAAAGTGTAGTTTTGTGCATTCTCCTTCTCTTTGGAAGATTACTCCCCACAAGGTAACTGCCAGGATTAGAAAGTTTGGGGGTATGTACTACAGCCAAAGGAGACAGGTTCTGACCACCATTTTACCATGATAGCCAGTCAAATTCCAGAGGTATCAGAAGTTGGGAGATACCACTGTAGCACTGAATCAGACAAATACAAAGTTGGTTGGCCTTAGCTATGGGATAACATGGAGATTGTGTCATGGCATGTCCTGAAAGAACTGCTGGTGTGGTGCAGTTATGGGTTTTGTGGAGGAGCCCTTAATTTGCTCACATATTTATTTTTCACCATCCTTCAGCCCACTTCAGCATTGTTGCTTGTGAGAAATGTGTTTGTTTTTTAACATATGATCAATTACTATATTAATAACGTTTCTCCTCCTCCTTCTTGCTTCCAGTCCTTTTTTCATTCTCCAAACTATTCTCTCAGTTACAGCCCCGTATACCACAAATGTGCTTGTGAGCAATAACAAGTGTGTGTATGTATGCATTTTATTAATCTGTTTTTCAGTTAACTAGTGGTCTTTTTTATTCAGGACAACATTGCAGAAAGGTCGTGTTGTGGAGTCCCATGCAAATGTTCTGGACAACGGGGAGACAGAGGACTACCAGGCACAGTTGGGCCAAAGGTGAGGTGTTTTAGCATGGGTTCTGCAGTTTGCAATAAGGCACTTATGGAAATGAGGTGGATCTCTTCAAAGGAGAAATGCACAAAGATGCCCAAGGTTTTGAACAGTGGTGGTTCTCTGGAGCCCAGCTTTTGTTGTATAGTGATCTCTATATTGTACTCATCATGTCTTATCTGGAAAGAAGCTATTTATTCATTCATTCGTTCGTTCGTTCGTTCATTCATTCATTCATTCATTCATTCATTCATTCATTCAATTTATATAGCTGCCCATCTCAGACCAGTGACTCTGAGATTTTCATCTATGATGTCCATCTTATGAATTTAAATTTCCATTGTTTAAATTGATGTGAACTTCATTTCAGTACCTTGTTTAACAGAGGCTTTTGGCTCAAAAATTTGGAGCTGCTAGAGTTAGTTTTGATGCTCAGTGTCACATTTTGCCTGTGCTTGGCAGTGCTTGATGATAGATTAAAAAAAATAGCATGCACCTCTACAGAAGTCTTTGCTACATAGATGAAACTCTATAAATTTAATGAATTATGTACTGATCTCTGCATTAGAGATAGAGATTGAATTTTAAATGGAAGAGGTAACATGAATGCTATCTGGCTGCAAATTTTTAAAGTTATAAAAGGAGAACACCATTCCTTTTCCTAAAAGGTTATAAAATATATATACAAAATCCCAAGCTTTTTTGAGATCATGCTCAGATATTTATTGCAACGAGTTTCTATATTTTCTTTATAAAAAGACAGAAGAATTTGAATTGAGATTAAAGTTAAAAATATAGGATATTAGAAGACCATCTCAGGTTTATATATAAAAATGTGTCTCTGTGTTTTTAAAGGGAATTCCAGGGGAAAATGGCTACAGAGGCTATCCAGGAGATGAAGGTGGAGTGGTGAGTAAATCTTTCTCATAGCTGAACTTCAGCTTGCAGTAGGAAGGAAACAGGATGAGAAGGTCATCAATATTTTTCCTTTGAAGGGGGTGGGTGGGTGGGTGGG